GGCCCCCGACTTCCAGCAGCTCTTCCGGATCCGGGGATGAGTACCTGGAAGTGACTGCCAGGGAGTACTACCGGCTACAACGGCCAGAAAAACGCAGACAAGCGTCCATCACGGGTAAATCCACCGATCCAAAAATCCTCGTTATAAAAAAATGCAAATATCAGATGAACTAACCTCTGCGTTTGTCCTCCCGCTCCAGGCCAGCGGCTCTTCCGGATCCGGGGATGAGTACCTGGAAGTGACTGCCAGGGAGTACTACCGGCTACAACGGCCAGAAAAACGCAGACAAGCTTCCATCACGGGTAAATCCACCGATCCAAAAATCCTTTTTATAAAAAAAATGCAAATATCAGATGAACTAACCTCTGCGTTTGTCCTCCCGCTCCAGATTTCTTCAAGGTGAAGAGGAGGCGGCTTCTACATTATAAGGGCTCATCCCGGCAGTAGGAGCGCCGCGTCGACCACGTGTACATATGTAGCATTGAATACATATATTCGATATACTGTTTTCTTCGGCTTTTTCGCTATACTGTGAAATGATATATTACGTGCACTCTTACGGACAACAAACGGACCGGGGAGAGGATTTTTCAAGCGGCGAGCTCGCCTTGCCTCTCGTAAGAAGTTTTGATAAGATGAGTTCCTCTTCCTGGCCCCCCGTGCCACACGGCGTCGTCGTTTCACACCCCCACCACGAGGTCAAAACCTCACCCGGGGTATAAAAAAAAAAAAAATCGAAATAGCGCGCTATTAATTTGCTCCAGGTTTGTTTGAGATCAATGGTGGAGGTTCAACGATGAGGTCATGTGGTTTGACGAATAATTCCAATCGTAATAATCATGACTATTTATTTATTTTTACACGATGCTAGATCGTATTGAAAAAAAAAAAGACCCACAATGTGTAAAACGACGTAAAAGAAGATGTTTGTGGATCCGCGTGCCATCGCCCCCAAAATTGTGTGATTATGACTCCACCGTTGCCACGAGGAAATTTCTATTCAACAACACGACGCAAAAAAAAAATCACACTCTGTACTCGCTTCTAACTTTGTATTCTTCACCTTAAGGGGTATATAACAACATCTTTTGCATTTTGGCGGCAGTCCAAGACAAACCTTACTTAGTTTTGGGTTATTTCCAGCTTGACGCTTTTGAATCATGTAGCATGGAAAATGTAAATGGTATGTTCTCTGTTGAAGATTTTACCCGCAAACTACACGATTCAAATTTATGGTTTTAAAAGCTATAAGTTGGATGAACCCCTCACTACCTCAAATACACAAAAAAAGTGTAAAAAAAAAATGCAGCTCAGGTTGTTTGCCTCTGTTGAGTCAGTCAAGAGAAATTGAAGTGGGGGTGGGGGCTGTCTTTTGTTGTTGATTTTGTGGTCAAAGTCGCAGCGCTCAGTTTCACGTCGGGTAAAAGAGTCAGCGAGGGGCTCGGAGGAGACCTGGGGGGGGGGGCACTGCTTTTGTTGTCACTCACTTGGCCTTTGAGTTGCTTTGACAGCCGAGTGGGGGAGGGAGACGCGAGATTGTCTGAGAAAATGCTTTGGAGCCCTTTTGAATCAAGGCTTTTTTTTTTTTAATGACAGTATCATGATTAATTATCAGCCCCCACTCCCCCATTTTGAATCCCTCAATTTCTCTTTGCTGATTCAACCGCCTCACTCACTGCAAGAATCATTCTCTTGGTTTTAAAAAGGCATATTTCAGAAAACTATTATTGCAGTAGCGTCTACCTTTATATGTGTGTGTGTGTGTTTGTGTGTGTGTGAGAAACATTTACAAGCTTCCGGTAAAGACAAAAAAAAAAAAAACTAACTTATTCGGAGTTTATATTGTGTTTGTTGAGAATGATGAAAATCCCTTTTTTGTAGCTATGACTAATTGTGTCATTTCTGAAATCTTTGCACTACAGAGAGCTATTTTTGTATTGTAATCTTTAAAACAATAAATACAACACATAAAAAAAAAAAAAGTTAAAAAGGACAAATCTTTTGACTGTTGGGCTTTTTCAGTTTCTCACATTTCCCGCCGGGCGCAATTTCCTTGTTGCCGTTGGCAAAGACTCAAGCGAGCCTTCATGCAATCTTTGCTGTTCCAATTTATTTGATGCAGCTTTGCCAGTGTCTTTATTTTTATTTTAATTTTTTGTTTTGCATTCTTGCATAAATGTATGATAATCATTGTATACCATTTGTCATCATGTCGGACAGAGTCATACATTTGTCTGGAATTGTTGAAGAGATTCTGAATATCGCCGGGATTTTATTCCCTGTGCTCGAATGAATAAAAATACTTTTATGGATTTATGAAATTGGAGCCGGTGTGGGATTTCTTCTGCGGTGTATGGCACCGCCTAGCGGCTGGAAAGCGATACTGCACATTGGCCTCGTTAGGTCATTATTTAGTTGCGTGGTCGTTTTATTCCCCGCCCCCTTTTTTTTTAGAATTAGACAAAATATTTGTTGTTTTAATGGCAACGAAGAGCAGCGAAATCTCACTCGAACGGACGCAGTTCACAAATGTCTTGACACGCTAAGAGCTTGTTTGGTGCCTTCATGAAGCCACGCATTCAACTTGCAACGCCCATTTATTTAAAAGAAAAACGCTCTTTTACAGATTCGAAGGTGCTGAAATGAACATATAAATAGAGATAAAATAGACAGGAAAATAGGCGCACTTTGCAGAAGTTACACATTCTCGCGCCTGTTTGACTTCGACCGAGGTATTTGTGGATGCTCATTGCCACCACCCCCGCCTCACCTCCCAGAACAAAGTTTCCGAGTCGTCAGTGGCATGACGCGTGTCGACCGCAAGCATTGTGCACCCAATGAGCTTCAGTTCCCGGGACAAGTGCTGGTTAACATCTCATTTAAGTCTCCGATGGCGTTAGTGTTGCAGTCGTACGAGGAAATTGGAATGCGGGCGAAAACAAAGCGAGGACCGAAACCCTTCAGTGAAAGGACACTTTGTACCTGATTAAAAGAAACGGAAAAGGCAAAAGTTGCCCACTAAATCTCTAGCCTTTGAGTGCATTATGGACAGAATCTATTTCGGCATTGGGCAAGCGTGAATCGAAGATGCCTCCAAGTAACACCACAGTGCTTTTTTTTTAAGTACATACAACCATTTCAATGATTTGTACATGATGAAACTGCTTTTGCAGTTCCCGACAGTCCAATTGTCAATGCTGAAGAAAATGCGCACGCTGAGTCTTTTAGAGAGGATGCGATCCCTCTGGTCGTTCTTCAATCTCCACCGAGGGGGTTGGAGGAAGAAAGGCAAACTCACCGACTTGAGCCATTTTCTTTCAAGTACGTTGGAGGAGCTCCAAAGAGCCGATCGCCTCAGAGCTGGTGATGCCGCATCTGCCGCTCTCTCCACATGGCCCGCACCTCCGTTGCGATCAGGGGAGAGATGAAAAGAATGCTGCCCCCTGTCTGCAACATTAAGAACGGGTCATTTCTGGCAGAGCGCACCTTGAACCTTAACCACGGAAATAAAAAAACTGTAAAGGCGTGGCGCTTGTAAGTAATGTAAAATGCCTTTGCTCAATCAAAGGTTGGCCAAAAGCGCGTCAACTATCTCCTCAATTGTCTTACCATGACGACGAAGAAGTAGAAGACGGCTATCCAACCCAATTTGCTCTCAATGAGAGACACCAGGTACTGGAAAATAAGATTCACGAATGAATCCAATTCCGCTTCATTCCAGGACCCACAAAGTGATGAAACGCAAAGACATACTTGTCCTCCGGCGGCTCCGATACTCCCTGTGCCATCCACGATGCCGGTGACTGTGGCGAGAGCCTCCCGGCTCCCCCTGATGGCATCCTGCCTCCCCAGGTCGGCGGAGATGGCCGAGCTGATCATGTTGGACGGACCTCCGATGAGGAAGCCCGTGATGGCCAGCAGGACGGCGTTGGCCGTCTTGTCGTCCGGCGAGTCTGAAATGCGTGATGGTAAAGATTCGGGAGGTACTCGCTTGACGATGGTTCCAACATTTGTGAGTTCAGTGTTATGGATGGCGACTTAAAAAAGGTCACGTGGCATGAGAAGGCATGCTCAACGTACATACCTTTTTTTTTGGGGGGGGGGTTGTATTAAGAGCCAAAAAGTGAGTTGTGTGCAAGGGAAAAAAAGTGACTACTCACGGCTGTACCCCACCAGAGAAGCCATGGCAAGAGTAAGACTTAAGGCCAGCACTGGGGACCGCTTTCCCATGATATCCGTTACCAAACCTTGAACGGTTCCGCCTGACATAATATATACATAAAAAAAAAAAAAAAAAAAAAAGTGGGTGGGGGGCGACGACAAGATTTTGTGATGTGCAAACTCAAACTCCATGATCCCCGCTGGTGCAGCACTCACCGATAATCCCCCCAACGTCATACCACATGGCTAGCCGGTCAGCCTCGACTTCCTTCCAGCCGTAGTTGTTGCTCAGGTAGAAAGGAAGCCAGAAGAAGAAGGAGTAGTTCACCAGCTTCAGACACGCGTACGCCAGTGAGTACTAAAGCAAAGAACAAACAAATGGGTTAAAGCTCAGTCGGGAAATCATTAGCCAGGAAGCGCTGGAAGCTCACCGGCAGAACTCCGGGCAGCCAGAAGGCTTGGAAGAAACCCACGGCTTTTGGGGACTCTTGCCCAGGTTCGTCCTGACGCCGCACCGAGCGGTAGTGAGGCTCGTAAGCATCCTCCTCCGCTTCCTCGTCGCTCATCAGAGGCCTGTGGGTCTCCGTGTCAACTGGGCTGAGTCCCGTCGGACAATCACTGCTAAGACCTGACACGCACAAATCTTTTTCGATGAGCGACGGAAACGAGGTGTTGCAAAAGAGGATCCGCCACCGCGTGCTCCTCACCGACTTCATGCGGGGAGGTGAGCAGGCCGAAGAAGAGCACAATTCCGCCGGCAAACTGCACCACGGACGTGACCAGGAAGGCATACTTGCAAAAGAGGACACGCGCAACATCCTGATTCATCAAGTTTGGATTTTCAAAGTTGAAAAGCTGGTCAACGTTATTTGTAGAAAAGAGCAAGAGCAACACCTAACAGATAATTCTGTAAATACTCTTTTATGATTATGATAAATGTAACCCCCCCTCAATTATAGAGTATTTATTTAAAAAAATCAAACTGACCCAACAGTGCATTGTCAGTTTTATCCGTGTCACAGTTAAGCAGGAACTGCCTACAAATGATGGATTCAAATACATTTTAAAAATGTTAAACGCAGAGTGTGTCACGAAAAAGCCAACCCGCTTTCCTTACCTCGTAGCCGTACTTGAGCACGCTGGATGCCAAGAAGGCCCCAAAGATGTTACCCACCGACGCGCATGCGCTCCACAGGCCAAACAGGAAACCGCGCCTGCACACCATCACAAAGAACGAGCGTTTCATTTTGAGCACCGCCCCCTCAAGACAAATACAATGACTGCCGCAAATGATCTTTACAAGTCCTGTTGCTACGCCTCAATGGCATCTACGTAGGAGATGACGAATGGTCGCCATTGTGCCAGTGGATCCCTCAAGACGTGTGTTATCAGAGCAATCGCGCGCCCGCACGCACACACACCCAGTCTTGCCGAACCAGTTGGCCATGACAGCCACCACGCAGGGCCAGACGGTAGACTGCAGCAGGCCGTTCAACACCCACAGGCTACAATAGAGGTAGACGTTGTAGATGTGGAGCCACTCGGTCAACGTGCCAAACACAAAGTTCTGCGGATACACAGACATTCCACGGTGAACAAAAGAAAGCCTTGCATCCGTCCGCTGCATCCGTTGCCGAGGTTCAAATATTGCGGGCGGTCCGCGATGACCAGGGCTCAATGTACTCAATGTACAAACAGGGATGAGACAAAAATACCGGACAGTAAAACGACACCAAGGAACGTTTACCCCTCGGGACTAAGAAAAGCATCAACGATATGGGAAGAGTATTATACCGTCCGAGCCCACTCACCACAGCCGCGGAGCCGCACAGGCCGAAGCACAGCACGTAGCGCAGGTTCACCCGGTCGCCTATGACGCCGCTCAGATACAAACCCTGCATGGAAGGGTTATTATTGATTTTTTTTTTTTAATGACGTGTGATTTGTTCTTAGAAGCATCACTGGGTTTTAATCTGCCTCACCACAGCATAGGAGAAGAGGAAGATGGAGTCCAGAGCGCCCAGGAAGAGCGTTGCCTGCTGCTCATCGGCAAACAGACGGTTTTTCTCCCATGTCTGCGACAAACGAAGGCGCGGGTTATAAAATGAGAGCCCCCGTTCGTATTTTGAAGAAAAGAAAGAAGAATCCGCACCTCGCTGGGCAGGAGAGCGGGAGCGCTGCCATTGCGAGGAGAAGGCGTCCACTGGGCGGAGATGCTCACTTTTACATTGCTGAACGTCTTCCTGGAGGCATGCAGGAACACATAGCTGGGACGGGGGAGAGAAAAGGGATTTCAATTCATTTATATAACCATGACTGGAAGGCTTCACAGCATGAACACAACCAGCACGCCTAAATCAAAGGAAGGCACAGAAGGACTATAATAAACCCGTTTGCGTTTGTATGAGAAACCCCCCCAAAAGTAAACAACCACTTTTTTTCCTGCTACGCCCATTGGAAATCAATATACATAGTTCACACTATCCTGACAACATGTGCCTCAAAGCCTTTTGACCCGCACGAATACCTTATGTGGATTCACACTTTGTTTTGAAACAGCATTCCAGAGGTCCATGGACATACATACCAAACATAAAACACCCACCTGTCATCCGCCTACCAGTAAAAATAAGACACCAAAAATTCACAAATTACCTAAAAAATGTGAGCAGGAACGCAACCAGGTGATGATGGGTGTACTGTGACAGGTAGCCACAGCATGAGGGAGGCATCACAGGGGTGACCGGTGAGAGGAGGAGAATTTGGAGGTTGGTCCTGGGAGGTGGGGATCTTCAGGGTGCTGGGAGTGGGGGGCGAGGAAGGACGGGAAGGGAGTTGAGCTAAAAGGCCGGGCGGTACAGGCACATCACAGGGGTAGATGGCACGGTGACTGGAAGGAGCAAAGGAAATGTTAAACGCTGCTTTGGAACACCAGCTTTCAATTTCCAAACAGTTTTATTTGTGTGCGTCCAAGTTTCATTTCTTGTAAGAAAATGTCATTTTATACTCTCTCACTTGCACCAGGAAGTGAAAGCAATAAAAGTGCTTGCTGTCCATGTGGCTCACTCGATGTAGCAGAATATTTCATGAAAGTTAATTGTATTATTGTGTGACTCTGTTTCATTTGTATAAAAAAAAGACTTCTGCTCTATCTTGCCGTGTGCAGGAAATGACAGCCATAAAATGCGATTGCGTGTGGCTTACTGTACCTTGAACGCACCACCACTCACAATCAACCGTACAAAATTCGCAATGTTTCATTGACGCTCTTTTAAAGAAATCGTTTATTTGTTTATTTACACACACACACAATGACAAGCCCACTTGGTGAATTTAAAAGGGTACCACTTGGCCGCCTAACAGGAATATGTTCGTTTTTTTTTTTTTTTGGTCGGGGGAATTAGAAAGTGCATACACGTCGAATACTTATGATGTGCCTCGTTGGATGACCAAGTGAGGATTTTAAATGTCGAGACAGAGCCCTTATTTTCACCATCATCCCTTTCCTCGGAAAACAGAAACAACCCACAACGAAGGAAACGAAGAAGGAACAATTTTTCTGGACCGATGGCAAAAGAAAACAACGACGGTTCTTACCTTCCTGCTCGCGGTACAGCGTATAAGCTAGCAGGTAGCGCGCTTTGGCCATAAACATCTGTTTACCGTGCGGCCACGTCATTGTGACGTCACTGCGGGGGTTGCGCGTGGCTGGGGGGCTATCGCCGCCAGCAGGCCAGGGGTCGAATTACATCATAAAGGCACAATTATTTCTGCATTAAAATGTAGAGGTTGCCACGGTATTCACGCTGTACAGATTCTTGTGAAAAAAAGGAAAGACTTTAGTAGATTACGAATTCAACACATTCACCTAAGTAGAAAATTGAAATGTACTTTGGTACTGTACCAAAATGAGTATTTTTTGACTGTCCGTTTTACAGTAGCCATATCGATAACTTCATCTCCGCGTGCCAAATAGTTCTCTCCCTTCTATTTGCTATTTTCATGCTCATATTGGGAAGGAGGAAAACAAACACGCAAAAAAGATGCTAAATTAACTGCTGAACAAACTAAAACAAAAAAAACCCCAAAACAAAACAAATAGCTCACCTGTATGTGTTTTTCAGATTAGCCGGGAGGATGTTTCTTTTTAGGATGGTGCAGGACCAACCGTCAAATTATTTCCGGAGCCAACATCAAACAATTCTTTTACGCAAGGCCACGGATGAGGAATCGTTTCCTCCTCAGAATCTGTGGCGTTATAGTTGTTTACAAATGCAGGCCTATCAACGATATTTGAAATTAAATACATGAATGGGGGGGAAAAAAGCGCATTTAATACAGCTTTAATTCATGTAGCCTGCACGTGACGTGTGCAACCTCCCTAGAGAAAGAGAGAGCGAGTTCAGGCTCTGTGCAGAGCTTGTGAATGACAGTAGATGGATGTGGTGGACCAAATGAATGGACCTAGGAAGAAGACTCCTCTTGGAAAGCAAATGTCGACAAGTCACAATGATGGAAAATTTTAATGGAACATCCAGGGCGTCGAGTCCTCTTTTTTTGCACGAGGAGAGGTTATTGCACCTGGAGGTAAGTTGAACCCCTGTCATCCTTATTTTTGATTTAATTTGACCAAATAGAGCGTTAAGTACTCATCTTGGGTTTAATTGAAAACTTTTCCTCATAATATTGAAGCCTGCAATCGGGATGGCCCATAAATATGCACTTGAAAACAGAAAAATAAACAGCTCCCATGGTAGGAAAAGCAAAAAAATGCATACTCAAGTTCTACTAAAGGTGCACAGTCATCATAGTGGCAATTAATAGTGTCAGAAAGGCCAGAAAAGCAGAAGTGGACAGTTTCCTTATTACGAAAAATAAACACCTCAATAAGTGAATCCAGTGCTTGGGAAATAAAAACCACATTTGCCTTGCGGTCGCCACCGTATCCATTCAAGAACAAAACGTTTTGCCAATTAGGGCTTCGAATTTCCTCCAGTTTATTTATTAAAACATAATAGTTTGCTGAAACGGGCCACGGTCCAACTATGTGTTTATTTTGCAAAGGCCGATGAGAGGAAGACGCTCGAGGTTCACAGGCCTTTCCAGCCGGCTCCATTTTCCCACCGTTGCCGGAAAGGGACGATCTCAAGCGTCTCAATGGGGAGTTCAGGGCCCTCTTAAAAGTCTGTTCAGCCTTTTAGCGGCAGAATATGCAAAACGTCAGATCTATTTATAGTGCACGCTTAGAATTGTTTGTTCTATTTAGGCTGGGGTGTGCAAACATTTGGATATGTATATGCGAATATGAAATATATATATGTACAAGTAGGTGTAAAATAGTTTTTTCCCCCTAATACTTAAAAATTCATATTAAAAATACCCCAATATTTAATCAGAAAAACAGTTGAACCACGTTGTTTGTTGAACCACTCTTTCTATTTAATTAAGTGATTCGTTCACACACAAGTAGAGGGCGCCCACGTACCACAAGTGGCATTCCTGCCATATTTTGAAAATCCGTCAATCAAAATACTTCTTGTTTCCCAATCTGTTTAGGCCAAAGCAGGGTTGTCACTGCAGTGAGAGAAGTGCTGTCGTCCAAGAAGCTTTGAGTAGCGTTGCCTCACAATGGCTCACCGGAGGCCCAATTCGGACCATCGAAGCGATGAGAAAAGACTCCTAGTGGGCAACAAGCTCCCCGTATCCGGCAGCGGTGGCAACATCAAGGACAAGATCTCGCTTTGGGAAGGAAAAGAACCATCACAGTCATCCTCTGTAGGCTTGAAAGCTGCAGGTGAGCAGAGTGAGATGGAAAGTGTCAAGAAAGTGCAAGGTATGAAAATGCATCACGATAAAGACAACATGGGTGAGGAATCGATGCCACCGGTTGAGAAAGAGCAAACCGGGGAGGAATGCAATCGAGCCTACGAGGAACAGAAAGAAAACGTGGAAACGTTTGATTTAAGGCCTCGTTCGCCTCCGCCGAAGGACCAGTTAAAGACATCGACCGTGACAAAAACATTACAACAAAGCAACGAAGATAAGAAGGCAGTATTCACACTTTTTAAAAAGCTGGACGCCATGGGGGCGAATCACGGGAAGACTCCGCCGGAGCTCGGGAACTACTTCAGTCCGCCGAGCAAGCAAAAACAAGTGGAGGGGAAGAGGAAAGACAACGCGTCTCCCCCTGTGAACCCGCTGCCCAAACCCAAGCGCACCTTCCAGCATCCTGCTCCTAAAGGGCAGCGCAACCTTCCCCCGCTACCCAAAACAGGCACGAGGCCTTTGCCTGCTGCTGACAAGGGACGACAAAACCACCACGACAGGTGAAAAACCACTGTAAAATTTGCAATTCAAGTCAATGTCAAACTTCAAAAAAACGTGACAAATGGCACACATCCAACACACAAATACGACAGTACAGTATGTACACTTAGACTATATTGAGCCAGCTCATACCTTTGCATTTCTTTTATGGTCTGCGCTATACTCATACTTTGCTATCGTTATTTATGAAAAAATAATTTTTGCTTTTATTTTATTTTTTCTAACAAAAATCTGTGGTGTTCCGCAAGGTTGTATCATTGGCCCCCTGAAGTTTTCTGAATAAAATATTTAGTTATTTATTCATAAAGTATGATTTATTCCAGCGTGCTGTCTGACAGGAAAACACTCGAGCATGAAGACATTCCAGCTTCGAAGCGCTCACTGACTCTGGAGCATCACTACGAAGACATACTGGGTAACTAAGCATGTTGCGACGTGTGGACCAGATTACCTGCAACCTTGCTTTCCAAATTCTTCAATGACGTGAGTTGTCTGGTGTTCTTCCAGACAAAGAGAACCCGTATGAGGACATCGAGTTGGAGAGTCAATGCTCCCAGCAGTCTTCTTTGCCCTCCTCTCCTGGTGCTGACACAAGCAAGGTTCCGACACAATCTCATGAGCGTATTGCCTCTCAATCAGCGGGTGGGCCGTCTTGTCGTGTAGTGATGGTTTCTGTAATTGCAATGTGTTAATGGCGGTGTTAAGTGGCATGTCAGGCAAGTTCCCACTCAAGGCCAAGGTACCAAATACACGGCTGCATGGACTTCAATCCACATTCTGAGAGTCCTTCTCCCCAGGCTTCAAGGCCCGGCTTTTTTAGGCAGAATTCCGGTCGGAGTTTCAAGCTGCTGGACCTGCGTCGGGGTCACCGGCTGAGCGGCGGTGTTGCTTCCCCATCCCAGCTCAGTCCCCCGTCAACCCCGACTGGTAGCCCGTGCTCATTCTCGGCCCCCTGCAGCCGCACCCATCGCAAGATACCAACGGTATGTCGAGTATAATAATTGGCTTGATTCTACTGGAATTATAAAATTCTGTTTTGCAAGGTGGTCCTGAGGATCAACAGCATCTTTGAGGCTCGGATCGGGAAAAAACATCTACGCAGGATTTATCATTATGCCGAGACCAGCTCAGGGAGAGGTGATGACTTTTGGACTGTTCATCTCTATTTAACTCGGATTGAAATTGACGTCAAAGTGCCCTTGTGGCTCCCATTAAATTGGCAATGCGAGCCCAAAGGCATTTTGACATCAGTTTCAGTCGACAGCAGGGGAAGGTGCCGAACAGAAAGAAAACGATAGGGTCGGTAGACAGAATATTTTACTTTTACGGTTGTGTTCGCAGTAACCGACGAAAACAGTGATTCCGAGATTGACCTTGAAGAACGAGCCAAAGGTAAGGAACATCGCTGAAGAGCTTTGCAAGTTTTCCTTCATGGCCTTTTTGTTCTAATGCAGCCCACCAGCAAAGGCTGGTCTCGGTGCAGTCCATATTGAGCCCACCGAGCCACACTGGGCTCCAGTGCAACAGTACCAAAACCAGAAACTCGGACAACAATCACCACCGGCGGCTCTTTGAGTACTTCCTGGTTGTGTCTCTCCAGAAGGCCAAAACCGGTGGCCATTATGTCCCTGAAGTCACACAGCAGTTCCCGCCAAAGGTCAGAAATTATTTGTTCCATATTTGGTTGCACCCTATAATGTCATGTTGTTGCTTTTGTGTTGCAGCTGGAACGAAACCTCAAATTCTTGCGGGAGACTGAGGATCAGCTTAAGATGATTCCCAAATTTTGTTTCCCGGATGCGAAAGACTGGGAGCCGGCAGACAGCTACCCGAGGTAAAGCCGTGTCTTATTTGTCTTCAAAAAAAAAAAAAAATCATCAACGCGAACATAAATGCCGTATGGATGTACTGTAAAAATCTCTCTAAAAAGTTAATATCAGGGGTGGGCAATTAACATTTTTAATTCAGTTTAGATTTGTATGTAGTCAAGTTCGGGTCTAATTTTTTTCTGTCGAAACATATTCAATTATTATCTATTCACACATGCATGCGTGCTATTGCTCTGTATGTCTAATCCTTTTTACTTTGCACATTAAAAATCAATCATTAAGCTAGCCAACATAAACCAAAATCTCTTAATTTGTGGTGATTATGTGAGCGCTCGGTGGGCCAGAATAAAAAACAGCATGGACGATGTGTGGCCCCTGGGCCATATTTTACCAACCCTTGGATGATATAATCATGAGCAGCTGTCTATTTTTAAACTTGTGCAGTCATAACACGGCAATCGTGGCGTTCTTGTTGTATTTAACATGACTCATCCCTCCCTAGTGAGATGTTCTCGTTCGCATTGACCGGAGAGGATGGGAGCAGGAGGTTCGGATACTGCCGCCGTTTACTGGTAAATAATAAGTGTTTGAAAACAATAAAATACGAGCTGCCAGTGAACAGGAAGCGGCCGAATACCGACGATCACGGCTGAATAAATAACTGTGCCAAAAATGTTGGCATGCCTGTGGGAAAACAGGAAGCGTATGTCTGGGAAAGTGTGCATGGAGTGTGCACGTGTATGCAGCATGAAAAAAAAAAAACGGCTTCATCTTCCCTGCCTGGGAGGCATTCATATAGCAGCTGTATAATGATGTGGAATGTAAAAAAAAAAAAAATTAAGTATTGGAATTCTTGCAAGAAGTCCCCACCCCCCTCCAAAAAAAAAAAAAAAATCATCTCCCTTATACAGTAAATGTCTTCCTTTCAGCCTAATGGTCGAGGAAAACGTCTACCAGAAGTCTACTGCATCGTCAGCCGGCTTGGTTGTTTCAAACTCTTCTCCAAGGTAACGTTCTCAACATTGGAGTCAACCGCCCCCCCCC